TGGGCAAAATACTGTACTTTCTGCTGAACATAATAATGAATTTGATAACAAAAGAGATCCTATTAACATGGAAATAGATAAACCAGATCATCATGTTTCATCAATTAATGATAGTTCTGTAATGAATAGTTCACCTAATGCAAAACAACATTCTTCAGATCGTAATAATGCCTTTGTGGTAGAAGTGAATATTACAAAAATTATGGGTCCTGATTATCAACAAAGTGTTGAAGCTTTAAAAGAGTTAGATAAAAATTTAAATTCTGCACCAGAATCAATTCTTCCTCATGCGGATGAAATCGTAAGATCTTTGGCACTTAAAGTCAGATTGTCTTACAGCCAACTTGAAACCTCATCGCCAACTTTAGTTCGATTGTGTAAACATCTAGTTAATGCTTTGGTTTTATTGTTTTCAAATAAAGATTTAGCAATGGCAGTATCTCAAGAAGCTTTAGATACATTATTATCAGAACTTGCTCGACGTTTGTTAGATCCAAAATTACAAGAACTCGAGTCTGGCCAACAGTTGTCTAAAGCTTTGAATGTTTCTATGGTTAAAGTTTTAGAAAATAGTAATCGTAATGCTACATATAGGTAGGTTCGTTAAAGCTTTATATAACAAATGACTTCATATCTCAAAATGTAACTATATTTTAAGATCGATATTAATATTTAACAAATATATCCATCTATATAATATTTAGTGCACTGATATCCATACTTGAAAAATACTCTGATTTAAGAAAAGCAAACGAAGACACAATTTTTGAACAAACGAAATTTGCAGAATTGATTATGAAGTGTCTATGGAAATTAGCCAAATCTGTTCAAGAAAATCTTAAAGCTGGCACATTGAAACCTAATCAATTACTACGAGATCTAAATGATTTTTTCTTAGTAACACCACCTGCTGAATGGAAAAGACGTGCCACAGAAAAAGTGGCGCTTGGTGAAATGCCGCTTCGTACGGTAAAAACCTTGTTGTCCGAATTGATAACAGGACTTGGTGAAGGTGTTTACGAACATTTGGATCTTATCGAAGACCCACCAAAAAGTTATGTTTATCCTTATTTGCACCACATGCTTGAGGGTTCAAGGAAAAAACAACAAACTCCAAATGTAATTATCATAAATTTTAAATTTGATGAATATATTTATTTATTAATATTAAAAAAATTGGTTTTATATCTATTGATGTTAGCATACCAATCCTGATAGTAACCCACCAAGTAGACCATTGTCTATTGAATCTGTAAGATCCCTTAGTTCAGAACCCATTGGTTTATCATCTAACGACTCACCACGCTCATCTCCGGCTCCAAAAAAAGAATCATTAATACAAAAAACCAATATATACCAATCAATAACGACAAATGAAACAAGAGCAAGAGGTCCGCCTATACCTGACATACCAGTACACTTCAATGAAACACAATCCAATTCTTCAGAACCAGTTAGTCCTGCGTCGCCACGAACTCCTATGACACCCAAGTTTCCCACACCGACAAATAGTGCACGTTCATCTGGCTCACATGAAGTCGAATTAAATGCAAGACTGACTCAAATTTTTGTTAAAATTGGAACAAGAGAGGAAACTAAACAAGTATGAATTTTAACTGTATTTTATAAAAATATTGTCATTTTTTTATTTTTTTTTTTATTGGATGTATAATGTGTATGTATATTTTTTTTACATGATTAACAGGGTATTTATGAGTTATACGAATTTCAAAAGAAACATCCTGAACTAGAAAGCAAAGTTTCAGCACAATTATCAAGGACAGGAGTATACTTTCAGAGTTATATTAAACGTGGTCTTGCAAATATCGCAGCAGAGGAAGATGAAAAAGCAAAAGCAAATATCATCGCAGAAGCTAAATCATTATGTAAGTAATTATGATAATGATAACATACCTTTATTAATAGGGATTAATAGTATTTTTTATTTTTCCTCTTAAAAAAAAAGTTCCTACAAATAATAACAATATAGAAAATCCTAATTTGTCAGAAGGTAAAAATATATAAATATTTTTTATATTTTATATATAAATATTTATTTATTATGTTAATATTTTTTTTGTTAGATGATGCTTATAAACAAAAGTTACTGAGGCTACAACAAGTATTTGGTTATAAAAACGATCAAGGGCAGCATTGATATTTTTTATTTATTTATTTACTTTTTTCTTTTAAAAATATTGAATAATAAAAACTATAATTCAAATTCAATTGATTATTTGCGTGCAGTTTAAACCCTTGTAAAAGAAACCACAAATATTCTCAAATAAGCATGCAATTTTCTTGATTTTAGCCCTTCTTTATATACACTCAATGGACAAAAGTTTGTATCCATAAATTATTTTGAGATTTTCTCAAAATTATATTAAATAAATATTTGTGTTCTTTACATCATTTCAAAGTTCTGGTTCTTGAGAAAATTTTTTATTAATAACAAATTTTTATCTTGTGAAATTTTTATTATGAAAAAATTTGACTTTAAAAATTATAAAATGGATGATCAATTTTAACAGATAAAAATATTATTTCTTACTATCTTAATATCTAGTTGACCAACCATTGTTGGCAATACATTCTTCTATCCTTCTGGGCATACTATCAATCAAATTCAAATATTTTTTGCAAGGAATTTGTTCCCATTCTTGTCTCGAGAAAATTTCCAACTCTCCCAAATTTTTTGGATGTTCAAGGTGATTTTTTAATCTTTGGCCAAGTTCATCCCACAAGTGCTCAATGGGATTAAGGTCTGGCGACTGAGAAGGCCAATTTTCAAGAAGGATGAGCCCCTTCTCAGACATCCACTTTTTCACATTCTTTGCAATATGGACAGGAGCATTATCATCTTGAAACTTGTAATGATTTGTAGGGTAATTTTATTGGATGAATGGTAGCAAATTATCCTCTAAAATATTAATGTAGTCTTTATGATTCATCTTCCCTTCTATTCTAACTAATGGTCCTAATCCCTTTGCTGAAAAACATCCCCAAACCATGATTCCACCACCACCATGTTTTACTGTAGGCGTCAAATTTTCAATATTGTACTGAGTTCCAACTTTACGCCAAATGTTTGTTAGTCCATCATTGCAAAAAAGAGTAAACCGGCTTTCATCACTCCATATTACAGATCTCCACATTTTTTTAGACCAATGCCTTCGATTAATGCACCATTCGAGATGATTTTGACGTTGTTTATCATTAAGAAGTGGTTTTGAAGCTGCATGGTGAGAATTGAAACCAATTTGGTGCAAATTTCGATAAATTGTTTTAGTTGAGACATTTAAACCAGTTGATTGATAAAAGGATTCCTTTATCTCACTAGCTGGTGTTCGGTTATTACTGTTAATGATTTCCCCCAAAATATTTTTTTCATCCTCACCAAGCAATTTGGGCCAACCAATTCTTTTTTTGCTTACTGGCATTTCTGAATCACCATAATGCTGGATGGTTTTTTTTACAGTTGAAACTTTAAATCCAAGAATTTTACTAATGTCAGACTTTTTGTGACTGCCTTTGAAAAGACCAATAATTTGTGAGCATTCAGCTACTGTTAATTTACGATTTATTCCCATTTTTTAAAAAAAAAAACAAAATGATCATAATTTTTAATGCCAAATTTATTTTTAATGTTATCATAATTAAAATTTCGCAAAATAAAAATTTGGTATTAATAAAATTTTTTTTTAAGAACCAACACTTTCAAATGATATAAAAATTGCAATTATTTATTTGGCATAATTTTTAGAAAAGTGCAAGACAAAAACAAAACGATCATCAATTTCGTAATTTTAATGCTGATTTCATTTTTAGTTTTATCATAACAAAAACTTCATAAATAAAGATTTAACAATAATAAAAAACTTTTTCAAGAACCATAACTTTAAAATGGTGTAAAGGTCACAATTATTTATTTAGTAGGATTTTGTAAAAATGCAAAATAATTTTTGGGTACAAACTTGTCCATTGAGATAATAATAAATACAAGTTCCGAATTTTGCAATTCAATTCTTTTATATACATTATTTTGTTTTCCATTTTTGATCTTCGTGTAATTGAACCATCCATAAAAGAAACGATTTTTGGACATCTTTTCCACAAAAAAAAAAGACCACCAGAAAAAAATCAATTTTTTCGACGACCATTTGTTTTTATTTCTTGATTTTTTATTTTAATAAATAACATTACCAGAATTGGAATTTTATGCTAATATAATAATAATTGTTGGCCGAAACATCTTAATTCCGAGTTAAATTATTTCATTATTTTTATTTACTTATTTATTTCGACATGTAACAAATGTGATCCATATGTTTGATGGATCAACGGCCACAGAACATACACCACATTGAAAGTCCATATTCAACAAGTAATTTTTCTTCGTACTCCATTGTTCAGTTTTAATGATCATCCCCTAAAATAAATATTAGTGAGAAAGATCACTTGAAACAAGCATACATGCTATTCCAAATGTACTAGGGCTTTTACCCTTAATTCATAGCATCTTCCATGACATTGAGGATTACAAGGAATTTAGCAGCCTCAGCAGGAAAAGTCAATTACACCAAGGATGTAAGCTGATATAAACCATCATGCTCTAATGAGACTCTCCAAAATTCAATTCTAGTTCCTATTACATAAACATATAATTAGAATATTGCTCATCAGCTTTGATCACTTACCATTCACAATCACACCATATGTTTCGTCATGGATTCCTATATCCTGTGCATGGTTGGTTTGTAACAGCCTTGCAATTTTCTGTTGTTTGTGGCTTAGCTTCACCAAGCAAAACTTCTTTGTCATATTCACAAAGCAGGAGAAAACCTTGTTTTTTCCCATGTACAACACCCCTCTTTGCACATCAAGTCTTGAATGAAATGCCTTTGCCATTTGCCCTGAAAATTAAATTTAAAAGCATAAATGGGTTAATCAATAGATACCTTTACATAAGTATTCGTTATATACAAGTTGCATAGTTTCAAGGATGTGAATATCTTCATCCAACAAATTCTTCCATGTGGTAAATTGTAAAAGCCATACAAGCACCATATTGTTAATATATACAGATAATATTGAGTGTCATAAATATTTGAAGCTTACTTACAAATTATGCATGATGAGTTGCATTGAATCAAATATCTTTTTGTTTTCTTGACTCTCCAATGCATACTTCTTGCTCCAATTTTGTCTCCACAAATCTTTCAATTCAGCTATTTTATTATTCATTAAATACTTACAATAAAACAGGTATGATTAATCAATGTCTTGAACAATAGTGACTCGCATATTATGTAAATTTATAAACAATATATGGTAATGACACCCACCACTTCTCATCAGTACATGAAATGTAAGTTGACTTTCCATTTTTCCTTAACATCATAATTCTTTGCTGCCTTTCTACAAAGTTCCTGGCCCTTTACACTATCCCTAAGCTGAAATCACCCCAAAGCTTATGGACTCATGAATTGGCTCTGGGAGGTGGATTATCTTCATGCAGACAAAGATATTTATTATTAAACAATTGCTTAGCAAGTTAATCAAACCATTTCTGCTTTATACTAACAAATATATAACACTCTTCTCATTTTTTTCATTTCCAACCTTGGGATTAGATATCTTTTCTTGGTAGTAACACCTTTTTCTGAGAACTATAATGTATATGGCAATCTAATACAAAATTTTGGAAATAACCTAAATTATCTTTTTAAAAAATGTATTTAATTTAAAAGAATTAAATTTGATTCTTTAAATCTAGAGGCTTAGTTAAAGAATATTTATGATGACAAACAAATGATTGATATGTTTGTTTTGCATAATCGTTATTAATTCTAAATAATTATAATGAATGTAAGTAAAGTAACATGGTTGTCAGAGATCTCTATCTCACATGGAAAACTGCATGCACTTTGATGATTTGGGAACACCAAGAAGCAACTCAATATGCAATGTCTGATTATCAGATGGAAACTTACTTCAAGCTCAAATTATTCTTTTATTCCTCACTAATCTGACCTGCAACAATCAAAGATACAACAATGCAATTAATTTCGGGGTTGCGTGGCTCTGAGGTTTATTGGAAATTGTATTGCTGTTAAAAAGATTGCTAAAGGTTCTCACTTGTCCAAAGCCTACCAATATGTTCAATTTGTCTCACCCATGGAAAAAAATTTTCCATAGGGATGAGGTGTATTTGCATGACAATCGCATGTTTGAGGGAGGAAAATTTTATTAAAGCTGACACCTGTGGTCAATATCAATCAGGTTTATTCATTTTGAAGTGGTTGTTGAAATGACTTTTAAGGAACTCTACAACTTGTATATCATCGGCATACATACACACACAAGACATGCATACAAAAAAAAAGCAGCCAAGACATTAAAGTTTTTCCATCACCACTTGGGTTACATGGTGATGGACCATTTAAGGATGCCAGTCGCAATTTTTGATAGTAGCTGTGACTACATTTGTAACCATTTTGCTTCCTTTTTTAGATTGCAACATGAAACATTAGGATTACTGCGCCACATATTGCGCAGTACCACATGTACAATTATTCATATTCATATTTCTATATTTATATTTCAAGAACTTATTCAGCTGATGCAAATATTTACTTTAAATTATTAATTATTATTTTGTAATGCTCAGTTGACCCAAATATTTATTTTACATTAATAAGCATATTTTATTGGACAAAATAGAGTAAAAGTCATGTTATTTGTAATACCCCAAGAGGTATAAAAAGACTTGGTTTTAGACCAAGTCAGAATCATTATGTTCAAAAAACAATCTTTTAATTATTGATCTAATAGTTAATACTTCCCAACACATCTGTAATAATATTATTATTATCACTAATAAAACACATATCATATTTTGCCCTAAAATAATAATCTCTAATTGATTAATAAACCACAAAGGGGAACCTTTGCTACCCGTAGCAAGTAACCAACATTTTTAATTATTGAGACACCTCTCAAGGGGACACCTTTGGGATATAATTATATATATAGAACCTAGGGACCCTTTTATCCAGGAGGATAAAAGTTATATTTTTATTAATTTTGACTGTAAGTCAGCAAGTAGGCTGTGTGTTGAGCTATGAATAACCTATTAATTAAGAAACTTGGATTGCACGCTTGCAGTATGATGAATATAAAAGAACTAAAAAATCAACAATACATTATTTTTTTACATATGAGAAACAATAATAAATCAGATCCTGTTTAATGTTATTACTTACACCATTAATTGTAATGAAGATAATAATAATATGTTGATGGCTGCATAACCTTTTAATTTACAATAATAACTAATTTGATTGTCTCTAGTATAATTGTTATATCAACTAGAATTTTTGATGTTGAATTTTCTATCTATAAATAATTAATAAATAAATATAATATGATTGTGTAACATTTCTTTCTGATCATACAATGCTAGATCTAAAAAAAAGTAATTAATAATTAATAGTATAATAGATAATAATAAATAAAATACAGTTGTGCAATTCTTTCTGATCATACATCACTAAATATGGCCACATAACTATTCTTTTTGATTTAACCATTAACTTTTGGAAAAATAAAATCTCCTAGATGAATTGAGATAAATAATCCATATAAATTAATATGTAGAGATTTTTTTTGCAGATCCTACAAAAAAAAATTTAATAATAATAATAAAAATTAACGAATTTCGAATTCTATCTCCTCCATAATTATCAAATAAACCATTGTCAAAAATTGGTATGAGAATAGTCTATGACCTATTATTTGAAAAAATTGGCTTAATTTTTAACTTCGTAAAAAAATCATTTACAAAAAAAGATTATCAAAAAATGTAAATCTTATTTATTAAAATTACACATGTTTTCAAAATCTATCTAGTCCACGAATTTTTTAGTAATAGTCATCAAAATGGTATCAAATGAAAGTTCAAATTTGGACTTTCACATTACGGACTTAGATTTTTCGTTCTCATTTTATTATTTTATTTTAAACCATTTTTTAATGTAATTTTTATAATTAAGCATAGTAAAACTTTTTTACAAACAAAAAAATCAAAAAAGTAAGTCCATATTTTTAAATTATAGGTAACTGACTGTTTTCATACCAATTTTTAACAAAAGTTTATTTTGAAATTATTGAGGAGATAGAATTTGAATTTTGTCCATTTTTTATTAATAAAACTATATCAAAAAATTTTTTCTTAAAGATCTGCATAAATTTCTGAAAAAATCTGTCTGTATACAGTCAACCCCCTCGGGAATGAGTGATAGCGTGCACTTAGAGGGGGTGTGCACTTAGAGAAACAAAGCATTTCATTGGTTGCATGTGATACCAATAAAGAATAAAATTTTTTTAAAAATTTATTAATGTATATAAATCAATACCATTACATTATTATCACCAAAAAATAAAATTTATATAATTATTGATTAAGATAAGAATCCATTGTACTTTGCCTCATTGTTTTTATTGTTTTTAAACTAATATATCTATCAAGAGAATTAACCATTTTTATTTG